TGTAGTGTGAGTATGAAAACCAATGGTAAACATACAGCTCAGCTTTTAAGTCGGTTTATATAAAACGATGACTTTATTTAATTATTGGTATCTAATCAATATGTTTCTTGGATTTTATTCATATTATCAAACAAAACAGATTGTATGACTATACATAATCAGGATTAAATTATATTGGTCCAACATGATCTATAGATAAGTTATTGTATTTTAAATGTCAATATATACATATACAAGTAAGTCTGAACATAAATCATTTTAGTTCAGACTAGCTTACATTTCATTACGGTACTGTGAGGTGAGCGACCCAACGAAATAATGACCTTCAAATGTTAAAATATAAATCTTCAATTGAACTAACTCACGTTCAGTTGTTAAAGTATTAAAGTCATTTTATTTTATATGTTTCGCAATTATTTGTTATATAAAAAATAACTTTATAAGAGTGTTTTATGACCACATGAAAATAAAGATATGTTTTTATTTACTTTTGATATTATTAATGTTATTTAATATTTCTTTTTTTTTCTTTGTTATACGTTCATAAAAAACGCTTGGTAGATACAGGAAAAGAGACTATTGATCGATTAAGATGCTTTTAATCATATATACACAAGAAAATTTTGCTTATTTTTTTCGGACCTAAAGTTATTCTTCCATTACTGTGGATGTTATCCTACCGAATTCTCTGAACGATATAATTTTGACATTAGTATCGAAATGATTTACGACTGAGGGGAGATAGATGTACGCCCGTTTGTTAACAATAATGTATGCGCAAATTTTAATTCCATATTTACGTTAAATTGAAAACTGACATGTATTGGAAATGTGAATTTTGGAGTGTCCTGAAAATGTTTGCTTTGAGAAACTATGGCAAAACTTGTCCCTGCTTAAAACATGTCCCTTTTTTGAAATATCTTATGTGAAATTCACGATTTCAAACAAATAGAATAAAATACATTATAGTTTATTTTTTATTTACATATGTTTTTACAATCGCAAAGGACAATAGACTAATAATTATATATGTGTAATGACAGTTATATTATTATATTAAAATTAAGTGATCAGTCAAAATTTTAACCATGAAAATTTTTATTTCTATATTTAAGATTTTTTTTTAATTTGACGTCCGTTTAAGACAAAGAGAATAAGATGTAAGTTAAGCAATTTTAAAAAGAAGGTTGGCATCGATTGGGTTCAGTTTTCTTCTTTAAACACATTTTTTGAAAATTATTTGGATTTCATTTACTTAAGACTGAGGCTTTCCCTTAACTTTTATCAGAGTGCAATAAAGCATATAGTATTCATTGCTGTGGGGACCAGTATAAAATAGTGACATTTAAAATAAAGATGCAAAATGTATTGGTTTAAATATGATTACATTTTCAAAATTCAATCGTATATAAAATACACATAAATAATAAAATTACGTTTTTACACATATGACTTATACTTATATTACGTTACGAAAGATTTGTAATATTTTTATTATAGTAATTAGGACGTATAATTTTGTACAGTTAATTTAATATACAGGGTGACTGGTGAATTACTATCGATACTTGAGGACGTGATATTTGACGATCATATATGACAAAATAAAAATTAATATAACATAAATATTAATAAACTTCTAAGTAAAGTTAACCAAAAGTTATGTAATTAATTACGCATCGTGTGAACACCCTACAGATTAGGTATACACACACACACACATAGGTGTTTTTCGGCATGGTGTTGTATCAGTACGCCGCCGCACACGTCCACACTTGGAACACTTAGAACGTATCCACACTTTATTTATTTATACGGAAATTTGGTCAAAAAATAAGTACCTATTTTTTTTTACATAATTCGAATGAGAATCATGTACCGAGTATGCTCCTTAAATATTGATAGTAATTCACCAGTCACCCTGTATATGTACATGTATAAAATGAAAGTAATTTATACTATTATTATGGTTATGCATTTGATTTCAAACAAACCACGGGAATAACAAAACAGTTTTATAATATGTAATTAATTAAAATATAATAAATTATTCTCGAAGCAATATATTAAAAAAGTAATAATATGTAACTTTAAAATTAAGTATAAAAATATTTCTTACGTAAATTCCTTTAAAAACACGAGAGATAATACATTTTATAAAATTAATAAGTAAATATAATATCTTACTGTAATTAACTTGTCAAAGGTTGTATTTAAAAGTATTTTATTTTTCTTTGCTTATAATTACTTAACTAATACATATAAAGTGTTTTCTTAGTCTATTCACTATTTGAGAAACTTATGGGATATAACAAATAAGAAAAACTATATAAACAAAACAAATGAAGCTAGTTTATAAAGTGTATGAATAAAATGAAATTATTTATAAGAGAAGCATTAAAATAAATTTTACTAAAATAATGCAAGGAATTTTACTAACATAAAGCAAGGACTTATTAAAATAAATCCTTGCTATTATAAACGCTAAAGTTTGTATGAATAATGGATGTATGATTGTTTAGTATTATTTAACATAAAAACTACGTATTTTGTTGTAATTATAAATGAAGCTCGTATGACATAACAACAAACATAATCCTCATACTCCGTGCAGTTCCCGCGGGAACAAAGCAGTCATACTAATTTGTATGAAGTTACGTAAAATATTAAATATAAGTACAAGTCATTAATATTTCTTTAATACCACTACTGAAATCCATGAAAAGTCTTTGGAAAGACCAAGTTATCGCATTTTAAATCTCCATGTATTATCTTTACATTGTTAAACATGAGTATAAACCAATAAACGTGTACATAAAAACCAAATATGTATGTACTAACAGATTTAAATGGTTTTATTATACACTTCATGTATAAAGTAACCAATTTAAAAAAATTACATCACAATAATCAAAATGTGATTTAAATATACAAGTAGAATATCATTTCTTTAATGAGATATAAGATTTTCGTGAGTACTCATTTAAATGAAACTAATTTTTTCGGATTTACTACGAGATTTTTGACTAAAAACTACATACCCCCGAAGCAACTTAAAGCAACTTTACAGCAAAGTAGCCGAAACGTCGGGAGTATGTAGTTTATAGTCAAAGCTAAAAAATCGTGTTGTAAATCCGAAAATATTAGTTTCATACTTTCTTTACATACATAGGCTTAAACTTATATATATGTTAAAACTTGAATCGTAATTCGTAACATGTTTAAGTGTAATTATATATGTGTATACATATATATATATATTTAGTTTCTTAATGAAATTCCTAGGAAGGTTCAGGTTTTACTGTGACATAACTATTAACTAGTTGACTCGTGCGAATTACATAAACGGAAAACTTGCCTTAACTCACATTAAGTTCAATGTTGTACATTAAATTGATCTCAAATAGCTAGTTAGTGTTATGACGGCAAAGAAAATAACACAATCACGATTGTAATTTTTGTAAGGTAATTTATGAAAATTGTTGCTCATATGATTTAGACCTTTAATATGAGTTTCAAATGACTTACAAACTGAACGATGGCGTGTTTCACTTACAAATCATAGTATATATACATTTTTTTACAGATAAGACTATTTACGAAACAAAATATCCATATTCTTTGAATATGTTGTTGATGATAAGGCGATAAAGTGTTCCTTGAAACAGTTCAACTGATAAATGCAAACTAATTTACAACAGGAAGACACATTTCCTTTAAGTAAAGTTAAAAACCTTAGTCCTAGCTTTAGTCCTAATATATTCTAAGTAGCAGTTTCATCCATATTTTATTCAACTTTTCCATACATAAATAATATTTTTGAAAATTTCTTTCTTATCTCCCGGAATGACGTTATGCTGATTAAATATTACAATGACACAACAGGTGTTGGGCTTATACAATTGTTTTGATAAATAACACCTGTATAGCGATATAACTGTATATATACATATATATTAACCTGTATATACTTATATTTAAATCTCATCTAAAAGATATTTTATATATAAGTAAATAATAAAAGATTTCATTAAAGAAATCGAAATGAACTCAATCAAGCATTTCCATTGAACATTCTAGTAATACACAATATTTAATTTTTAATAGTATTTAATAAATATATATGTTACTAATTTGGCCTTAGATAAATGAAGTTTTTGCAACATTGGATTTTCGTCTCGCGTAAATTAAAAATATATATATTATAAAAACGGCCTTTTTGTAAAATATCTTTTAATACAGAGAGTAGAAAATAATGTATTTAAAAGATTACTGTTAATTAAGTTCATAATATTTTGCTCTAAACATGTTTATTTTAATGCTTCTCGAATCCCAATAATTTCCACACATAACACACATCGACCATTATAAATATTACGTAGTACATAATATGTATATCGACCCTAGACATAACATTTCCACTGGAAACAGGTTACAGATATTAATTCATATCTCAACCTCACTATCAAGTTATCAATAGTAACTAAGTTCACCTTTTGCAGAATATTAAGTATATAAGGCAACCTTGTACCGGCCTTCAATAAGTCAAAGCAAATTTTATCATATAAATGTCGTAATAATTACGAATGTACAACCCTGACTTGATTTTTCTACAGACTTCTATGAATCCGTGGGAGTCATATTAAAAAAAAAAAATTACGGGCAAACAGAAAGACATTTATTTTTTCCTATAAACACTCATTTATATATACAGTATATATTGTACCTAAGTCTCATTTAAATGCAGGTATGTCTATAAAAATAATTAATTCTAATAATTATAGTATTTATTGTAACTTTGTATTATAGTTTGATCGTATAGTTGAATGGACATAAATTATAAAAATATGAGCGTATTTTTATAAAAATACTCATAAAACCCTGTAGCAAAATAATAATAAAAATTATTAAAACGATTTTTGGGTAAAAAGCTAATTGATACTCAAGTGGCTATTGAAAAATTTGTATGAGAAATTCAAATATTATTTTTATTGTTCCAGGTTCGAGCTTCGTCGAACGCTGATCATATGGAACTGCATGCTGGCTGCCTTCAGTATAATGGGAGCATGTCGTACGCTGCCAGAGTTCATACACGTACTACGGAACCAAGGATTCTACCACTCCATTTGCGTGCCAAGGTAAGTTTGATAACAGTGGAACAAGAGTAGGTTTCTATACAATACAGGGTAGTTGACATTAGCTACTGTTTAACACAGTATTCATATAGTGTACAATAGTATCGAACGTAACAATATCGAAAATTGTTTAGTAATCCAAAAACCAAATATTCCGTTTCCTTACTCTCAGTGCATCTTCTTCTACCTGGCAATTTTCCAGCTGTAGCCAGGGTCTGCCTTACATGTTGTGAATAGTTTTTGCTAATTGTTTTTACGACCGGCCGCCTGCCTGACATCAACCCTCTTTGGGAATGCATTACTCAGTGATGTCTAAATACTCTTAGAAATTACATATGCCTCGGAAAAATCACATTGGTACTTGCCAGGATCGAACCCGCAACCTGATGTATAAGAGGCGGGCCTTTTAACAACTAGGCCACCACTGACCTTACTCTCAGTGTATGTTACATATAAACTATAAGTTTCCAAGTTTTCATTTTCAATTTGTGTTTTAAATTTATTTCGATATCTCAATTACTTTTCGATATATTTCTTTTTAAAGTACGCTCACGACACATTTTTCTACCAATCCGCTCTTAACGCTTATGACGTCACAGTGCAAAACTCGCTTACATTGCTTACCATTTATAAGTAAAAAACAATGAAACTTTTGGTTTGAAATTATGGATTGAAACTCGTACTAATTATATTATAGTTATGTAGTCTGTTTGTGCTCCTTAGTGATTTATGGAGATGGTGGTGATGGTGGCCTAGTGGTTAAAAGGCCCGCTTCTCATACATGAGGGCGCGGGTTCGATCCTGGCCCTGGCCACTTTCTAAGAGTATTTAGGCATCACTGATTAATGCATTCCCAAAGAGGATTGATGTCAGGGAGGCGGCCGGTCGTAAAAACAATTAGCCAAAACTATTCACATCATGTAAGGCAGATCCTGGCTAAAGCTGGGAAATTGCCAGGTAGAAGAAGAAGTGATTTATGAAGATAGTACCAAAAATTTTATTTATGGTGAAGTATATACTACTATTTCTGTTAAAGTATATTTTATGAATGAGAAATAAAAAGATAATATGATTATACCTCCTTCAGGGAGAATCATTTGAGTGACTTGAAGTTCTATCAACCTAATATATTGCCAGTAAATGTTTATACGTCACAGTTCTAATATATATGTTATATTGTAGTCGTGATATATCATAGTACACTCCGTACACCTCCAGGCTCGTATCACGTATTTATTCACCTCACGTACAATGCTCGTGCCTATTTCTTTATTCTTTTACCGTCTCAAAGCGAAAGTTCCGTCTAGTTCGCGTATTTGTGTTTTCTCGATAATGATCCCTATACCAAAGGTGATACGGTCGTTTTTATTTATTATAATTCAGCCGAATTTCGATGCGATCTGTGATGTAACAAGACATTTCTAAACTTAACATTTATGACGTATTTGAGACCGGGTCGCTTCAATTAATATCTATATTCATGATTTAGTATTTAATACTACATGATCATAATAATATTTTCTTAAGGTTTTTTTTCATACAAATCCTTCATATTTCGTCCGTTGAAATTAATTTTTCGTAGCGACCGTGGCGTCAATCAATCTCGATTCTGTTTACATTGGAAGTATCTCGAAGATGACTTTGACCCTCAGCCGGATCTCATCATCTGTATATGGATTCGCGAAAAACAAGCTTCCTTTAAAAACAAAATTATTATCAATTTTAATTCATAATTGACTACGTTACCCGTTTAAGTGGCGGACAATTACTCTTTATGTTGCCATAAAACGGACAAGTGTTCATTATTGTCTTGTATTTTTTTATATCTATCTGTTCAGTGAAATATCTTTTCTTCATACATCAGTTTGTTATACCATTCTTTATCTACATATAGTTGTTTACTCTCCTTTTTGTTATATTTTATTGATATAAGCATCCGTAGACTTATATAATTAAGTACTTATTAATTCAAACCTTTTCTTATATATTTTCTTTACATGCATTTGTATGTTTTTCTTAATTTATTTCTTTGGGAAAAAGAAAATGCTATACTCATTTAATAAAGAAATCATATTTTCTTTTAAACATACAATTTTTTTATATAAAATAGTTCAAAATGTAAAGAAATAAAAATATTTGGAAATGAGGTTAAACAAAGCAATTAAACACAAATTATTGTACATACAATATAATCAATTATATTTTTTTCATACAAAAATCATATCTCAAAAATAATGCAGTTAAAAATAAATAAGTATGTATATATGTGTTATTGGTAGAAAGATAAATATATACATAGTATATTCTTAACAATATCCAGTAGTATATTACTCTTAATATGTGTTCTGTCATGTAATTAATATCATCTTATCCATATGCTTACTACAAGTTTGCATATAGATCAAAACTACGTACGAGGCCTTAGCAGTTTCCCATTCAATAATATGTATATATAATTATTCAATAAATGACAAACTTCTTACTCTCCGTATGTTGGTGACGATCCGAACTTGGTGTAAGAATACTTTTTTAGTTCGATGTTCGTTTTATTGATTTGTCCAGTAATTACGAAACTTCAATACCACTTGACATTTACATACAAATTGTTCTAATCATTTACCACGTGTTTGCATTCAAACTAAACGATTCAAACAGTTTCAATTATTCAATTCATACACCTACATGAATACTATTACGTTCAAAGATATATGAACGATAAATTTAAACCGTTCGTCCTGACGATTTAAACAGCTAGTAAGGATAAATTGCATTTAATGTTACAGAATTTTCACTAATTTTATTCTTTGCCGACCCTAAGTAAGTGGTCCTCATAGCAATTGACATAACGAGCGCATAAAGATTGCAGAACTTTAAACACTTCGACATTGAATTTTATACGTAAAAGTCGGATGCACGAGTGTAATTTTAAACTCGAGGCAATCATGAACCGTAGTAGTCTTTAGACATCGTATAATGAATTAAGGTTCAATTAGAAAGTTTTAAACGTTTTTAAAACAGAAATGGATGACTTCTTATGACTTAATGAGATCTATGACTTTCGCGTGCATTCATTTAAATTAAACTTATATTTTTTGGATTACGCGTACATACTGAAAAATAACCGAAACGTCGGGAGTATGTAGTTTTTACAATAATAAAATAATTTTTAAAGTTAAGTTGTATAATTATGTTATTGTTATAACGTAGTTTTTATAGAACTAATTGTATATATTATTGTGTAAACACAAACTCTAACCCCTATTGTTTAACAACATTGTGTGCTAGGAGCAAGTTAACATCACAATACATACATAGGGTTCACAGTTTATCATACTAAAATCGAAACTAGAAACTCGTCGTATAGTGTGACGATGCAGACTTGTACTAAGGTTACGGTTAAACAATTACGTGACCCGATTTCATCTAAACAGCTTTGTCATCATCAATTCGGATTTCACTGTGAAATTTAAATTAATTGTTGTCTATTAAGCAACGGATTCTTTAACGAGGTTCCCTAAATAATCTAACCATTACTTATACTTAATTAAAAACTTCAATGCATATAAATTAATGACACATATATACTATATATAACAAAGTCAATGGTCGCCTAGTGGTTTAAAGCATGCATGAGGGCACAGGTTCGATCCTGGTAAGTAACAATGTGAATTTTTCCGAGTCATATGTGCTTTAAGAGTATTTAGACATCACTGATTAATGCATTCCCTAAAAAGGTATGATGTCAGGCAGGCGGACGGTCGAAAAAAAAATTAGCCAAAACTATTCACAACATGTAAGGCAGACCCTGGCTAAAGCTGGGAATAACAGATACAATTTATGTACATAGATTTACAATTTTTAATTTAAATAATAAAAAATGATAACTTCTTTGATGATAAATTTCAAACACGTCTTGACCCTCGCCTTGAACAAAAAGTGCTCTGTGAAAGGGCTCTTCAATTTGTCTTTTGGTTTTAATATGCTTTCACTGTTGTGTTAAAAATCGCTGACTGCAAACGTTTCACTTGAATCCGCTGGGCTTTGTCTTTTAATAAATATCGTTGGAACAAAATTTTATAAAACAATTATCCATGATTTATTGTATACAGTATGAATTTGATGACTAACTTTGTGTTAATTGAAAACCAATGCTCTTTTACTTCATATTAAATAAAATTATTCTTGTAAAAGGATTCGAACCTACGACTGATAAGTTATCGCGTCCCAGATACATTGCCATCTAAACTGTCGTGTCCTGTTAGAATACCTTTTATTATTATACGTACAACATTACTTAAATATAAAAATATGTAGAATAATTATAATACTATATGTTTCAGTTCTAATTTCTCTTTTATTGTTTTCACCATACTCCAACCCTTTCACTGTGGTCTAACTGTGCCATTCGACTGTTCATAAAATGAAAGTATTTAATGATAACAGATGATAGCTGCATTCACTGTGAGGACGATTAAAAGTCTTTCATATATTTATACAATAAAAGACTTTCATTTAGAAAATATTTAGTATAGAGTACTTGAAAATAAGATTTATTTATAAATAGAATATTTCCAAAGCGAACTTTATCCAAAAAAGCTCCTTAAACTACTTTCATTAAATTTAGTTATATAACACAAAAACATAGTTTAATAACACGAAAAACAAATATTTTTGCATTTTTATTGTTATTATGATTTTATAAAATATATTTTTTTTATAAAATGTAAATATTTTATAAAATATATATTTTTTTAAGTTGTCATAAGTAAAATACATAATATAGGTACCTATATATATTTTTTCTTTTCAAAATTACGGTATAAAAAATAATTACAAACACGATTAAATATATAAAAAAATAACCTCACCTTTTAATAGTTAAGTGAGTATGTTGATATTTTACGAATGCCCGTATATTTGAGAAGCAATGAGATGATACAGTTTTTGATAAAACAATAAAAGTAATTAATAAGATAAAAATAATTTGTTATAAATGACATATA